TGGGGGAGGGAAGAGCTGGTCTCATGAGGCCACCGTCTCTGTTTTCCACCCTCAGTTCGTGTCCCAGCGAAGACACGGGCCCAGGCTCGTGCTGGTGGCCTCCTCGAGACACAGAGGAGGGATCCTCGTTGTGTGGTGCTTGTGTAGCTGTCTTGTGCAGTTCTGTGCGGAATTGTAAAGCTCTTGTTTACCACTCCCCTGCTGGCCAATGGTGCGAGATGGTCGCTCTTGTGGGTCACCTCTTTTGTTGCCACTGGAGAGCGAGGCGTGGGCATCTCCCACATTCACAACAGATTTCAGAAAGAACCAGGCAGCAAAATCTAGTACACACGAACGAGACGCATGTTCTGTCAGAACAATGAGTTTCAGCAGATTGGAACCTTCTGTATGGCATCTGACACGGCCTTTCCTGTGGTATCTGACACGGCGTTCTGTATGGCATCTGACACGGCCTTTCCTGTGGTATCTGACACAGCATTTTGTGTGGTACCCGACCTGGTCTTTTGTGTGGTACCCGACCTGGTCTTTCGTGTGGTACCTGACATGGCCTTCCGTGTGGTACCTGACACAGCTTTTCATGTGGTACCTGACCTGGCCTTTCGTGTAATATCTTACCTGACCTTTCCTGTGGTACCTAACACAGCCTTTTGTGTGGTACCTGATCTGGCCTTCCCGTGGTACTTAATACGGCCTTTCCTGTGGTATCTGACACCGCCTTCCATGTGGTACCTGACCTAGTCTTTCGTCTAGTACCTGACCTGGCCTTTCGGTGTGGTATCTGACACGGCCTTTCGTGTGGTACCTGACACAGCTTTTCCTGTGGTACCTGACATGGCTTTTCGTGTGCTACCTGACCTGGTCTTTTGTGTGGTACCTGACACGGCCTTCCGTGTGGTACCTGACATGGCTTTTCATGTGGTCCGTGACCTGGCCTTTTGTGTGATATCTTACCTGGCCTTTCCTGTGGTACCTAACACGGCCTTTCATGTGGTACCTGATCTGGCCTTTCCCGTGGTACTTAACATGGCCTTTCCTGTGGTACCTGACCTGGTCTTTCATGTGGTACCTGACACATCTTTTCGTGTGATATCTAACACAGCTTTTCGTGTGGTACCTGACCTGGTCTTTCGTGTGGTATTTGACATGGCCTTCCGTGTGGTACCTAACACGACCTTTCCTGTAGTACCTAACACGGCCTTCCGTGTGGTACCTGACACAGCTTGTCATGTGGTTCCTGACCTGGTCTTTCCTGTGGTACCTGACCTGGCCTTTCCTTTCCTGTGGTATTTGACATGGCTTTTCGTGTGGTATCTGATCTGGCCTTTCCTGTGGTACCTATCACAGCCTTTCGTGTGGTTCCTGACACAGCTTGTCACTTGGTACCTGACCTGGCCTTTCGTGTGGTACCTGACCTGGTCCCTCGTGTGGTACCTGACACAGCCTTTTCTGTGGTACCTGACATGGCCTTTCCTGTGTATCTGACACGGCCTTTCCTATGGTACCTGACACGGCCTTTCCTGTGGTACCTGACACGGCCTTTCCTGTGGTACCTGACCTGGTCCTTCGTGTGGTACCTGACATGGCCTTTCCTGTGTATCTGACACGGCCTTTCCTATGGTACCTGACACGGCCTTTCCTGTGGTACCTGACACGGCCTTTCCTGTGGTACCTGACACGGCCTTTCCTGTGGTGTCTTACCTGGCATGCTTTGCATGAACTATCACAGCCACAGACCCGTGGGAGTTGCAGGATGCTGCTTTGTGGTTCTATGGGTCACAGATATGTAGCAGAGACCCCTCCGCCCCGCTCAAGCTCTTCCCACTTCCAAACCCTGCCCACATGCCCTAGATCCAGCTATTGCTCCAAAGAGCTTGATGGCTCTGTTCGAGTGACCAGCGGTGAAATAGGGAATGCTGCCAGTCCGTGGCATGTGTTCCCAAACAGGGAGCAGGAGGTTCTAGGGCAAATCTGTGCAGACCGTAGTGAGCTGTGCGAGGTGCTGTCACAGCTGCCGCAGCCGTAATATCCAAGCACAATTGCACAGGATTCATGAGGCACCTTCATAGCCGGGTGTGGGCAGTCACACAGTTTATATGCCCAGGCACCATAATAATAGACACGAGAGGCTCGCCTTAGTGCATGCCTCTCCACGTGGGCAGCTGGCAATCTCTGTGTATGAAAAGCAGATGGTTCTCATCATTAGGTTTCAGAGTTAACACCCTGTAGCCTCACCACATCATGGAACACTGGAACTGGAAGGGACCTTGAGAGATCAAGTCCAGTCCCCTGCCCTCGCAGCAGGACCGAGCACCAACTAGATCATCCCTGACAGGTGTCTGTTCAATCTGCTCTTAAATATCTCCAGTGATGGAGATTCCATGACTTCCCTAGGCAATTTAATCCAGTGTTTAAAAGCAGAGAGAACTTCCTGACCCAGATGGGACCTGAAGCCAAAATCCTCAGCTTTCGAGGCTGGTGTGGTATCCGTTAAGCCACTGGGCCATTGATCTGAACGAAGGCAGCGTGCTCCTCTCTCGGCTATTGTTTCAGTCTCTCCGCAGCCACAGGCAGGCCGTGCTGGTCTCTGAGGCTACGTCTAACGGCCGGTTTTGCGCAAAAACTCGCAGAGCGTTCACACCTCAGGCGCTTTTTTGCGCAAGAAAATGTCCAGTGAATTGACAGACCAGAGGGGTTTTTGCGGTGTAGGCATTCCTCTTTCTACGAGGAATAACTCCTTTTGCACAAGAGCTCTTGCACAAAAAGGTGTGTGGGGATGGGCAACGGAGGGTTTTTTGCGCAAATCCAGGAAAGAGGAAGAAGCGCAGGGGCCCTGGTGGCCATTCTGTGGATAGCGGCCAGCGCTTTCTTCCGAGAGAGCGTCCGTGCAGTCTGGACACTCTCTTGCGCGAAAGCCCGTCGCTTTTCCGATGCGCTTTGCAGTGTGGCCGCGCTCTTGCGCGAGGAGGTTTTGCGGAAGGTCTCTTCCACAGAAAGCTTCTTGCGTAAGAAACCTGCGGGGTAGCCGTAGCCTGAGGCATCACGCTCTGCCCATAGTAGAGATGCTGGCCTCAGCCTCACAGAGGAACTATGAAAATGACGTCCCACGTCCAGCTTCCCCCTTCCCCCTTCCCCCTCCCGCCAGGGAACGGAGTCTGAACGGGGTGTGTGTCCCTTCTGCAGAGTGCCAGGAGATATCGACGAGGTCAACGCCCTCAAGCTGCAGGTGGATCAGTGGAAAATCCCCACCGGCTTGGAAGACCCTCATGTTCCTGGTAAGGGCTCCTGACCCCCTCCCCCCATCTCCCCCGCACACACGGGGACACCTGGGGCAAGGAGAGTGGGAAGGGATTCCTGGCTCTGAGCTTCGTGGGCCTGAAGGCAGCCAGTCTGGGGAGGGCAGCCAAGGGAGAGCGTGAGAGGAGAGCCCTCGAGCAGGCCGTGGGGATGGGGGCAGGAGCTCACTCTGGCCCTGGGCATGAGCCGGGAAGGGAGCGGGGAAGAGAAGGAGAGTGCTAGGGAAGGGCGGGGCTCTGGCCCACCGGGGTGCACAGCCTGGCGGCTGAGAGTGGGCGCCGGAGCTTGGTGTGGCAGAGGGGCCTGGAGAAGGAGGGTGGCATGGCCCCAGCAGAGCTCCTGGGAAGCCTACGGGGCGAGTCCAGCACATGTGGCCCAGCTAGGTGAGCACTGACGTTCCCTCTGATTTTTCCATCAGTGTGCGGAATACATTTTGTTCTGTGCACCGAGGCAGGGGCAGATGTGCACCACCAGTAGACACACATGCTGCCGGCTGGGGGCGCGCTGCTAATTAGCTGGGCCCCAAGCGCTCAGCTTGCAGGGAACGCTGGCGAGCACCCCGCCTCCTCCCGGACCCCCGAGGCACAGATCAGGAGAGGAGAGCTCTCCCCCCAGTGAGATCTGGCTGTGGGAGGCAAAGGGAGCCTCGTTGGAGCTGGGTGGCTGAGGCTC